CTGAGCGTTCAGCCTGGAGGCAGGCATAGCATCACGGCCTCTCCCACTTTGAAGAGACCCTTATCCAGTAGGCCGAGGTGAAGAGGAAGTCACACAAGCAGCAAAAGCAGGGAGCTGGACAGCGGTCAGATTGGATTTGTCTTCAGTGCGGAAGAGATTGTCACTCTCGAATCAGCCTCCTCAGCCACACTAGACGCTGTTCCAAGTCCTCCATACAGAGCACGTTACCATAGTCTTTCGAGACTGAAGGATGGCTAACCTAAACCTAAAACTAACATCACTAATTCATAGTAATAGATTCCCCTCTCTAGTAGCAGGACTGAGCAGTTAACCAGTTTTCAGAAAGTATCTCCATTTGCTAAATTTTCCTGTTCTGCCTGCCTTTGAATCTCATCCTGTCATGATGGAAATTCACATTCCTATAATCTCCCTTTTCTGTCCTGTTCACCTTCCCTACACTTTTAGCCCCTCTGCTCATGTCTCTTCATCTGAGACAGCCATGATCCTCAACACCAATTACAGGGGCATGTTCCTATTGCTTCTGGTAACTGCTATGATTTTAATTACATATAATCTAGAACTAGCTAACATACTTTGAAATAATTTATTTTCATGATATGTAGTTTACTAATGTTACACAACTATATTTCTAGTCAGTGTCATTCTTTTTCTCATATATAGAGATGTGCACAGTGAAAATTTATTTTTGTTTCGTTTTGGGTCGTTTCCGGGAAGAGCCTCTTTAACTTCCTTTTGTCTTTTCTGCAACAATTATATTATTTCACATGAAAAGGGCTGCCTCTTTCAGGTTATTTCATTTTTCCCCATTTGTGTTCTATCTGAAACTTGTCCCAAAACCCTAAAGAACCTTTAAAAACTACAAAAAACCAGAGACAAGGCAACAATCAATCCTACTGCAAAGGCAACAATACAGGCAACAAACACCTCCAAATAAAACATCCTGTTCCCCTCCCACAATGACTACACATGGTAAATTAAATAACATTTTTTTAAAAAAACAAACAAACAGGGAAAGCCCTCCCTTTTCCCACAGGAAATAAAAATAGCAAAACAAAGCATACCCACAAATCTTGGTTCTTCTCACAGAAACCAAGAAAAGCAAGCAAGTGAGCAAACTAATGAAGGCCAATTCCCCCCAAAGAAAATAAAGGCAAAAAATACACACTAAGGCCTGCAACTAAAATAACTAGAATATAGAGATTTCTCTTCTCCTGCACCTAATGTCTTCTCCTCTTATCTATCAGTCCAGGGAAGCAGCAGCAAAAATATTTCCCAAATAAATGGTGGTGATGAGAATCCCTCCAAAATCAAGGGAAAAAGGAAAGAATCCAAGGCACAGAGATTGGGGTTCAGGTAGAAAGGCAGCACAAGATAAATGTTTCTAGGTGCTTATATACCTTAAAGCAGTGGTCCTCAACCTTGGGCCTCCAGATGTTCTTGGACTACAATTCCCAGAAGCCTTCACCACCACCTCTGTTGGCCAGGATTTCTGGGAGTTGAAGTCCAAGAACATCTGGAGGCCCAAGGTTGGGGACCACTGCCTTAAAGGAATGAGCAAAATAAAGAAAGAACAGTCTCAGTAGGTTCCACCCAATCCAGGCCTTTTTAGAGCTTCAACATTCCTACTTTCCCCTTCCTGGACATTCTGATTGGCTCCGCCCCTTATCATGTATCTTTTTATGAAATGCAACATAATGAAACGGTTATCAACAGACCTTCCCTGCTAAAGCCTGCCTCCTCTTCTCCTAAGAGGGAATTTTGCTTTGTCCAGTCCTCCAATTTCTGTCAAACAAACAAAGAGTAAACCACTTCTGTGCCTTCTCTACCTAGAAAACCCTGGGAAGGGTCGCCATAAATCAGAATTGACTTGATGGCGTGCAAACATTGGTTGCAAAAAAATAGCTTGATATACACCTAAGACAAGATTAATGTTTTCCATACAATGCTTCCTAGAACACGAAAACATATTCAAATTTGAAAAGAAATTGAAATTCATCACATCTACTTGATGTTTTTCCTAGCATTATTTCACCTTCTTGTCTACTTGTGTTGCTTTTCTTCAGTGGATTGAAGAGTTAGCTGTGTGAATATAAATTGAGGAGAATTATCTTCTCTAATGTTTGCTGAGATGCTAGAAATAAGATGGCTTTAATGTCTTGACTCACAAATATATTCAATAACACTACCTCCATTAATGGTAAAATTATGTACAAGGAGAAATAATCTGGGGTCCCGTTTTGTGGGAGATGCTCCAATTGGGGCATTAAAATAATCCATCATAATACTTAGAACATTTCAGAATCCTAAACATAAAGCTCAGTCATTCTAGGTAACCAGATAGCAGTTGAATTATACTGAGAATTCGCTGCAGGAATATAAATGCTATCCAAAATTAGGACTGAAATTGCAGTATGAAGCAACTAGAAAACAATTTTCAGGAACATTAATATTCCCTCCCATCAATCTTATGCAACTGTAGTTAGTAAACATCTGATTGCTTTTCCCTTATCTTTATTTTCCAAGTTGGAGCAAACAAAATTTTATACCCCAGCAATACATGTCGTTATACCAGATCATACAGTTCTTACCTAAACCAGGTTCATTATTACTCTTTACAGTTTAGTTTCCAATTTCTAATATAAAAATCTTACAGCATTTTTGGGTGTTCAGGAAGAATACCAGATCATACAGTTCTTACCTAAACCGGGTTCATTATTACTCTTTACAGCAGTTTGGGGTCTTCAGGAAGCCTGCTCATTGCTGCCAGCTGGAAAATTGGCAGACAGCACACAATAACACAAAGGCTGATGAGGTTATTCTCTTACTAACTAACAGATGAATCCCATTGGCAATCATGGAGCACAGAGACTCCATAACTAGAGTGCCCCACACCTGCTGTGGACTTGCTTCTCACTTAGGCAATGGGGACAGTGAAACTACATATGGAACGAATAATTTCACATGTGGTTAATAAGGAGCAGGATACTGGAATAAGTTTTGCTTTCTTTATATGAGTATGTACACTGACACAAGGGCAAAATCCTTTTGCATAGCTACACAACAGCTCCATGATCTAGGAATCCTGCTGCAGACCCAGGCAATTCCCTCCTGTGCCTCCTGTGGTTTTGCATAGCTACACAACAGCTCCATGATTTAGGAATCCTGCTGCAGACCCAGGCATTAGGAGTTCAATTCCCTACTGTGCCTCCTGTGGATAGAGCCAGCCTGTGTGGCCTTGGGCAAGCTGCATGGTCCCAGGACACCCCCAGAGGAAAGGAACAGTAAACCACTTCTGAATTTTCCCTCTGTAGAAAACCTTGAAAAGGGTATCATAAGTGAGAACTGACTTGATGACACACATAAAATGGACATCGCATAATGCTGGGGGAAAATACAAAAGTGTAAAAGGAGAAGAACTATCCACTTCTGCTAATGCATGATGCAGTGGTATCCCCAGGGACCGTGTAAATGAATTGTGCGATTCCCTGTTGCTGGGTGTAATTCTTGGCACATTTATGTAGATGTAATACATTATGCCTGCACAAAAAGAACTTTGCCCAATATATATAAAACCAATGGTCCCAGCATCTCAGAAGTGTTTTTTTCACTTCACCCTTGTGTTTTCTCGCAAACTGAGCCCAAATGCTATAAATGCAACTTGCCACTGTTTTACAACAATCACCGGCAAGTTGAGTTGCACCCAGTCACTACCAACAGCCCAAAGCATTCACCTTTATACTCATATGCGTTGACATCCAGCTCTTGACAATTAGAATTTGGGACTGCCATGTTTAGTCGATTAATGGCCTAGCATAATCAATGTAAAATGTTTGGGTTAATTGAAAAAGTGTCCCTGAATAACTCTCATCAACCAGGATTTTATAAACAATGGCACAACCTTGCTTGTGTTTTCTGACCCTGTGACTATTCTAAAGTACGGATCAAGGATTAACAGTTAGAATTGTGATTTGGCCTAGTATTTCAGGTACGCAACCAATCCAGACCTACCATTTTTCATTTTCCAAGAGAGGGAGTGAGAATGGACAGCTCCCTATGTCCTTCAGCTTTGCACCAAAAAGAGGAAAAACAAATTCCAAATTCCTCCAACTCTTTCAAGGCTGGCTAGTTCCCTTAAATCTTTCTGTACTGTGCTTCTGAAAGATCACCAGAGAGAGTTGGAGGTCCTTTTTGCCATGGAATATTTCACATGCTTTAGCAACCTTATTAGGGTCTCCATAACTGAGAAGTGACTTGATGAGCATAACAGATATACATTTTCTGATGTATAAACACAAGCATTGGGAAATCTAAGTGAAGGTGGTTAAATATTGTTTTGAGTTAGATTTTTGAAAATGCAAATAATCTAGATTAAATTGAGCACTTGGATGGTTATTCTGTAATCCCTTTTTTTCTTGCCACTGATTTTATTTCAATGTTACCTTATGTGTTAATTATGGAGTATGTGTGTGACATAAGAATTGCTGTCTCTATACAACAAGAATAGCACTCCTACTACACAATAAGAGTAACATCTCTTGAAAGAGAATATTTTGCTTCAAAATGTATTTGCACCCTTTCTTGAACAGAGTTTTAACAGTAATATATCCTGTTTTAGGCAACTGGAATAATATATTTTTTTACTTTTTATTTTTATAACTAGAACATAAACATAAAATACACAAACTAAAATACAATTTAACCGTGCTCCCCACCACCATATTTCTTTTAAAATTACATTACACTTTACGTAGGCTGTAAAAGAGAAGGGTCAATGTTCTTTCAATAATGCAACCTTCTTGACCATCTGCCTTTCATTAAATGCAGTTAACAGCAGTGGTAATATGACTAATTAGGCTGCATACAAACATAGACATGGTTCAATAACCCTAGAGCCTTTGGCAAAAACCAGATTGAACCAAGTACTGGCCTTGTTGACGAGTGCAAAATAATCACTGGAAAGCAGGGTAAAACACTACATTTGTCTCTATTCCAGCATCTCTCATGTTCAAGTTTGCTATGTTTCCAGTTTGATCTAAAGAACAATAAAGAAAAACATACAGCTACTAACTCACATGACAACTTCTTAAACAATCAAGAAAGATTGCACCACAATGCAATCAACATGCTCAGATGTAAAAATTAGTTCAGAGGGAAATAGAAGAAAAATGTGAGATAAAAGCAGTGAAATCTGGGCCTCCCCGGTATAAAATAAAATGGAGAAAGGAAGGGACACCAAAGAAATCAACACTGATTCAGAACTATTCATAAACCAAAAATCTAGCCCAAGAAATACTAACACTGTTTTAACAAACCACATGGGAAAGTTCTGATCAGGAAGGAGTTGAATCTTCTATAAAGAGAAGCAAGGATTGATCAGAGTTGAGCATGTGTCTGTAGAAGACTCAGCACTGGAAAATTATGCCTGTTGTATATGACTGAAAAGCAAGAATACTGGAACTGAAAAACTAAGTCCACTTTCCTCTGTGTTTCTGAAAAAGGAGATATGTTTCAGCACAAACAGGGGTGCTGTGTGTTAGGTCATCAGTTGAAATATTGTGCTTTCCCAAGT